AAAAACTGGCTGTTAGGGTTGTTTTGGCTGCTTGGTAGGTTCTAAAACTAATCCCATCTTCTTGTCTTTTGGTGGTCTTCAAGGGGGTCAGAGGTCATGCTGCCAGTGTTTGCATTTGCCGGGCCAGGGTTTCGCTGGTCAAAAAGTGAAATTTTTGGACTAAATGGACAATTTGGATGTTGGACTACCCTGTCAATATGTGTTTGCAATAGTTGAACACTCAAGTAGGTGATTGTTTACAGCTCAGTTCTTAGATGTTTCCATATATTCCAATAGGGGCTGGAATTAGTGGGCTGTGCCCTACAATGTTATTGACCAGTGAGGCCTGACTGCTGCTGTCCATTGTGAACGGGTCTTTGGACGACGCGTAGGCAGGAATGGCGTATGCTCCGTCAGGTTCCACCTACCAACAAGAAACCAACACATAATTAAAAATGACATTTACCCCAGAATGTTTAAGTCTTACTACGAAGCTGGAATGCATCCATATAATGCAACTTAATATGTTCATTACGTTCACAAATCAATAAACAAATCTTATGTTCACAAATGAAGGAACAATAATGTTTCTTGATTTGTGCCCGTCGCTTTTTTTAAATATTCATATGAGCGTGTTTGTAACCTTGTTTCATGTCCTTGTTCTAAGATGAAGCGTTAAGAAGTTACTCACCTGCCCCTTAAGTTCCCGTGGTGTGACAGACCACTCTACCGGCCGCCCTCCTGCACCATGTAAGGACTCGTAATTGTCTGGTAAAATAAAATATATTTGCGAAGATGAGAGAGAACAAACTAGATTTCAACGTAAGATTATGAAACTTTCAATCAGTTAGGCTTTAATACATTTAGATATTTATGCATATGCGTGCATCTTTGGTATTGTACTGTATTGGGTGGGTCGGATACTCTCTCTTCGAAGCCAAGGGTCTAATTGTGAGAAGCTTACAATTATTGGGGCTGAATCACAAGGGTCTAGAGCGGCTGCCATTCGGTGCTTACTCAGGTGACCTCATTATGGGCCCAGGTGCGTCCACTGGACTGTCAGGTTTGAACCACTCACACCGGGAAGATCCCTGCTCTTTTCGATAAGTGTGGTGGGTTCTTTAGCTTGCCTGGGGTGTCACTCTCCCCAAACACGGGACATCCATTTAGCATCCTATCTGAAGAACGTTCTTAACTGAAGCCAAGTACTCATTTACACCTGAGTGAAGTGAAGACAGTCGTGTAAAGTGCCTTTCCCAAGGGCACAAGATCGCTGGAAACGGGCAGGATTCGAAACCGGGACGTCTTGGGTCTGAACCAAACACTTTGGTTTGGTTGGCTCCATCTGTTTTAGAAAAGTTAATAAATTGTCTAACTTGATAACTGTTGCGTAAATTAGATCAATATTTTCATAGCAGGCAACTTACTTGCAGTGCTCCTTCGTAGGTCTTCGTAGGTTCGGACGTTACTATCTCCGAGTTGTGGTCGAGCTGGCAAACGTCCAAGTTGGTGACTGTTGTTCTGGGTATTGTTGTCGTATCTGGTGAGGGGATTTGTCAATTGCTTCGGATAGTTAATTAGAACGAAATGTTTATGTGATACCTTCATATTAGGTCAATACTCAAGAGGGTTTGCTCTGTAAATACAGTTAAAACTATTCTTTGATTCGAGTCAACATAGCCATCTACAGAAGACGACTAGAAAAAGAAAAAAATGGTAACAAACTTCTACTATTTAATGAAAAAGCATATTATTTTACTACCGTCTTTTATCAGAGGATGCTGCACTGAAACTATATTGTAGTCGCAAAGTGCAATAACTATATCTAACGTTTTGATCACCTTTCTTTCTTTATCCTTTTACGCCTGCAATAGACGATGATAACGGTCACGACAATTCCTAGAATCACCACCGCCACGCTGGAGACAGCAATGATTTTTACTGATGTGGACGACAACCCATGTTGTTTACCTACGAGTTAGAAGCAAACATTTAAATACAAGACAGGAAATGTTTATTTTTTTGCTGTTGTCATTATTTTTTCATTTTAAGGCATCGCCATTAAATGATTAAACATGGAATTTTAAGGTTTAAATGAATGACAATATGTTATCATCTAAGAGAATGCACCTTCTGCATGAAGAGGACAGTAGGTTGCGAAAGACACATCGTCAACAGCTATGTCTCCCTGGTCTCCATTTCCCACAACAGCCTCTAGAACAACCTAAATAGGGGTACATAAAGGTTTAACTTAATCATATGTCCTATTAAACTTAATGACTTACTCGTAATGTGCATTAAACAACAACGAGTCTACGTAATATCGATACGTACCCCACAGTTATGTTAAAACAGATACCTGATAGTTCCTGTTGTTAGTACCGATGTTGACTGAAGCAAGCAGCCATCCCCTCCCCTGTTGTCCCTCCCGTCGCCACACTTCTTGTGTTGATTCATCCTCCACGTTCCTCACCAGAACTCGCAGACTGCCGATGTTACGGCCTTGCATGTGGTCAAGGAGGGATTATCATATTTCCCGACATGCATTGCGGGTTTGAAATAATATAGCGACCGGGCCGTGACGTAATCACTCCAAAGATGGCTTCTGCCCAAGGCGGATCGGCTCCTGGAGCTGCGATAAACACGTTGTTTACAGTTAAACCAAAGATTTTGGAGGATAATCCAGATGTGTTGCTTTGTTGTATGGACACATACAAGTTCCGGATTCGCTTTTCGGGGGTTTCGTGCTTCGAAATAGCTACTAGACGCTGCCACATAGCAGTATCGGGCGACCCACCAAACCTCCGGCGGCTGTGCTTGATTCCTGACCGGGACCTGGGCGGAGTGTTCGCCGGAGTGCCGTCTCCGGTCAAACTACGCGTCAGATCGAGTTCTACCATCAAAGTAAGATTTACTTTATGTCACTTATCGTTTTTGGTGACCTTTATAAATTTTGTGTGATCAACAGAGCAGTAATTCCGCGGCAAAATTGGGCTATAGTTGGTGGGAGGGGGGCATGTATGCTCCCGGCTTTGTTGTGATTTTCTGCGACTTTCGGTGCATTTGTATACTATTCCCTGTAAATATATGATTCCGAACTTGTTCTACTATGATTTTCTTTGTGCTACATATTTTTTTCATGACCATCACTTTTTTGTGGTCGAAACACAAGTCAAAACAGGAGTACAACCCGTCAAAAACAACGTACAAAAATTATGGGGTGGGAGGGGGGCATGCACACGCTTTTCAGACGCTTTTCAGTGCATTTTCACTGCCGTCTGTAAAACTGCAATTTCGATCCAGTCAAACTATATTTTTCTTAATCCGACTTAATATCTTAGTCTGATATATTTTTTTGTTGTTTTTGTGGGAACTGGATTGTTTTCATTGCAAATGAGGGAAACTTTGCCTATTATTTGATACAAACTGACCAAATAGCTAAGTTCTCTCTGACAATCAATGTATTTTTTGAAAATCTTTTTCAGAAATGTATCAATTTATCTTTGCTTGATTAGCTCCAATGTTTTTGGCATCTCAGGTGATTTGAAAAGTATTAGAACCAAAATACTAAACCACAATGGCTTTTCTTACAGTTCAACTGTTCTGAAGATGTCAACAAGCAAGAAGTTTGGGGCACACTTCTCTGGGAGGTGGAGCAGCTGCACACAGACAAGACAGCGATAAACTTCCCACCAGTCGCAGCAGATATCCCAGATGATCTGCCACATGGAATGGAATTTCAACCTGTCGACATCAGCCTACCATATGTAGACAAGTGTAATTGCCTGAAGCCCATCCAGTCACCTCAGTTACCTCTCATCTTAGTGGACATGTCCCGGGACATGCATGACCCAGACCCAGTTGTCGATGCTTTACAGGACTTTCACCTGTCTGAGGATGAGTCCGATGACTCTCAGGAACAGGATGGAAACACAGACAATCAGTCAGACGATGATGATAGAACTCTGAGTGGACAGATTTTTGCTGTCGCCGGGTCGACCTGGCAGGCATGCTATCAAGATGCCTTAGACAAGTGTTCTGCTCTAAGACGTGATGGTACTGATGTTGAAACTCGAGCAGCATTTGAGCCCAACAATGTTAAGGACAAAAATGCTATCAAGTTTGAAGTCTTCGTAGAAAACTGTTGGCAGGTTGTGGGGTACTGCCCAGGCACCAAAGTTCCCAAACTGACCCGGGCAATGAACAAAGGTGATGTAACTGAGATTGCTGTTCACAAGTTACAGCTTTCTTACTGTGCCCCTGCAAAAAAAAACTTGTACAAGGCATACGTCAAGATTGTCAAGAAAGGGACCTGGGAAAGGGATAGCTTAAACTACAAGTACAACTCAGTCATTGTAACATAAACACCATAATAATTTTCACTCATTCTTCTCGCTTATGTAAGGCTTAATACTAAAATAACACTTACTTCTGTAGTTTTGCAGAGGTAAAATTGAAGCTTGGAACATACTTAGACCAATGTGTGCGAAATTTTGTTGTTGTAACAATTTTTATTACTTATCATAAGATGCCACAAAAATAGGATCAGGTGGTTTCATGAAATGTAATTTTCATTTGTCTATATGTTATCTGTCTATGACCCCCAAAAGACATGCAAATGAGTGAACAGCATCGAGTCTTTGTCTAATGAAACAGGTAAAATATACATGTATATTATTTGATATTGACACATAAGGTACTTCCAACTTTTGTTTAAGAACACATGTTTAAGGTACTTTCTTACTTTGACAAAATATTGAACAAAGAACTTTCTCATAAAATATCAACTTTGGAACAAATAGGCAACATATGGTTATATAATAATATATACTGGTTATATAATAAAGTATATTCTTGTTACAAAGACTACCTGGCTCAATGTGCCTTACTGTCTTGATTTGCAACAGGTGTTATAAAATCAAACTTTACTACCTACCTTTAAACTTTACTACTTTACAACAGGTGTTATAAAATCAAACTTTACTACCTACCTTTAAACTTTACTACTTTACAACAGGTGTTATAAAATCAAACTTTACCTACCCAACTTTAAACTTTACTTCTTAAACATAAAGAAAAAGTCTGCTTTTGCACGTGCACATTTTTAGAAACACTTGTTCAAGTTACTGTTACTTTTACCAAAAACAATGTCCTGCAGTTAAAATTCTTTAAAAAATATACCTTTGCAACAAACTGGCAATATATACTTCAAAATACCATACCAAGGGCTGGACATGTAATAAAGAGTTGTCTTAATAAAGTATATGCATGTTCTTGTCTTCATGTGTCTTACTGCCTTCACATGCAACTTTGAATCAAAAATAAATATGCCCTGAGGTTAACTTTCTTTGGCATATACAACATTGCAACAACTTGGCAAAATATCTTTACTACACTAGGTATATCTTAATAAAGTATATGCATGTTCTTGTCTTCAGGTCTCTTACTGCCTTGACATGCAACTTTGAATCAAAAATAAATATGCCCTGAGGTTAACTTTCTTTGGCATATACAACATTGCAACAACTTGGCAAAATATCTTTACTACACTAGGTATATCTTGATAAAGTATATGCATGTTCTTGACTTCAAGTCTCTTACTGCCTTCACATGCAACTTTGAATCAAAAATAAATATGCCCTGAGGTTAACTTTCTTTGGCATATACAACATTGCAACAACTTGGCAAAATATCTTTACTACACTAGGTATATCTTAATAAAGTATATGCATGTTCTTGTCTTCAGGTCTCTTACTGCCTTGACATGCAACTTTGAATCAAAAATAAATATGCCCTGAGGTTAACTTTCTTTGAAAATACAATGACAACAACAATAAAGTATATACTTTCTCAATCTGCCTTTCTGCCTTGACTTTACTATCTAAACATAAACAAAAAGTCTACTTACATTTCAAGCTAATGTCTTACTTTGAAACAAAGGTTTAAAGGTGGGGCAGCATGTTTGGTACCTCCGGCAACGGTACCTCGGGGCGATGAATCATCTGCCGGATAGTCGCCCTGTTGCGGACCGGCAGGAATCCCCTCGCGCTTGTGAAGATGGAGGCATCCTCTCTCCTGCAGGATTGGATCCTGTGTAGGCGGAGGGGATTGTTTCCTGCCTCATTGAATGAGGGGTACAGCTCATCCCCTCTGTACCTCTCACTGCTTGTCCAATAATAGAATGGCAGATCCGGATCTATCCGCTTAGAGAATTCCCTGTATGAGATTAAAAAAAAAATATTGTTAAGTTCAAGTGCACATAAAGACAACTCACCTGCAGTTCCAGAAAAGAAAAATTCAAAGGGCTCACAATCCTGTCACTTATGCAGTTTTGCAGCGGGAAACAAAAGTAAGTACTTTCCAGGGCTTACCTTGACCTAGCCACATACTTAATATCAAAACAACCCATCCATGCTTCCTTAAGTAACTGTGTATACTCACATGTGGAGCACACACACACACACACACACACACACACACACACACACACACACACACACACACACACACAAACAGTGGTGAAAATATTACCTCAAATACAGAGTTTTAAAAAAGCTGATACCTGACTTCTGTTGGCCACCGTGCATGCAATTCCTTGAGGGTGAATGTGTTTCCCAGGTGTCGGTGTAGGCCCGCGAAAAAACCCTCGACATCGTCAGTTGTACTTGCCCTTGGATGTTCCTCATGGCCAATGACGACATTCTCGCTTCTCCGAAGCTCGACTGATTCGATGTTCGCTGTGACCGCGATCAGGGTTTCACGGCTCCAGCCCAAAACTCCTTGCCCGAACCTAAGAAAGGGACAAGAACATAGAAATTCACTTCACTGAGTCTGTAATCCATCCTGGCATTCTTGACTTATACCATTTGGCAACATACAGATCCACATGTTAATACAAGTGTAAAAATATAACCTTGGTAGAGGTAGCAATTATCTTATTAGCTAGCTCTTCCTTTGCAAGTTAGAGAGAATGGCTGTGGCATTTTTTATTCAATCATAGTGTCATGTTTTCTTGCCTGTTGATATCCATAGTTGTGAAGTCTACGGGAGGACGACGCCATGGGGGAGAACGATGATGTGGCATGAGTTCATCAAGCACCATCGCCATCATAGCGGTGTTCTTCTCCGTCCTTTGTTCTTCTGTCAGACCCCGCCCGTCAGCTGCTTCGTGCCACCCCGCAATGGTTTCCACATAGCTAGCTTCTCGAAGATACCCCCTGTGCCGAAGAAACCTGGCCATGCTGTATGACAGCAAGATTTCGGCATCTTTAACGGACTGTTTACGCAGCCCAAACAGGGCTGCCTCCGTCAGACCAGGCTTCGGCTCCCCATCTTGGGGATGGAGGGCATCTTCGAGAGCATGGTGGTTAAACCATCGCGGGGGCTCTTTCCTCAGATGTGCAGCTATCCTTTTCAGGAGATGGCAGTGATCCTCCCTCCTGTGTAGGTAGTTTCGCCCATCTCTCTCAGGTACAAACATGTGGTGTTTAAAGTCTACCCCCCCCGCCATGAGTTCGTCTAGTCTGTATCTGTATCTGTAGGTGGAGAGTATGGCCCGGAGCTGGTCGAGGAGGGACTCGGGTGAGTTTGCGCGGAAGGGGGAGGGGCAGCAATCTGGGGGCACAAGCTGTTTGCGTAGTCGTACAACAGCATCCTCGTCTGCCATGTTGTGCACTGTTGTTAGCTGATGGAACTCCTCTATTACTGCTTGTGGGATGGCCTTATCTTGCACCTCTGTTACCGGCATGCCCAAGTCATCCTCTGCATAATGAAACACAATAATCAGGTAAGTACAAACTGGTGTTCAATAGTATGCAGAGTCTATCTTAAGATAAGCTTTACACATTGGAAACAAGCAGATACAGGAGCTTTTCACTACCACCCCCACCCCCTTGCAAGAAATGGTCAGTTGAATCAGTTGCACTGTAAGTGAACAGAAATATAACAAACAGATACATGTAAAACATGCTATGTGGTATTACACAGTCCGATACAATAGAGAGGCCATGCATAAAATTTGTGTTAGTCGAAGAAGAAAAACTAACCCCCAACTTTCCGCAGTGACTTCAGTATTGTCTGTGCAGTCGTCCTCCGGACACTGTCCTTAACTTCCTGTATTATCTCGTAGAGATGGATGGGACGCTTGTTCCCCAGGCTTCTCAGAGAGTTGAACTCTCCATCCGTAACGTCACCTATGACAACAAGACAAAGCTCCACGTAAATATCAACATAGAAAAAAAAAACACATGGACATGCTCAATAAAACACAGTTACCTAAGTGCCAATTATAGTATCAAATAATGAATTTTGAAGTAGGGCAGCTTTCTGACTGTTACAACTGTTCAGCTTAGCAGCATTCAACAGAAGCACCAAATATTCTAATAAGCAGTCAGGTGAAACATTTTCTTTTAACTTTTCTATGCTTTAATTTCAACACTTGTCTTTGTTGTGTTTATATTGAAGTAAAGAAGATTATAAAGGATAAACTCCTACCAACAGGTGTTAATCCTAGCTTCTTAGCCTCCTCATGGCACTTGTTCAGGAACTCCTGGAGAAACTGATCCCGCAGGCTGTGATAAGGGATGAGTTGTATTGGTATGGCATATGGCTTCTGGTTGCGCCTCTCATCTGATACCATTATAACCATGGCATGGTCGGCTGCAACTCTCCTCTTCTTGAAGAGGTTCTGTAGGTACGTTTGACTATCCGGTGCCAGTTCTACAAGACACTGGGCGACTCGGTCAGGTTGAGGCGAAGAAGGGTCGAGAGCTGCCAGTAGCCGTTCATACCTACAGAATGCATATGAAAAAAAAAAGGCACAACTTAAAAGCTGAAAAGATAGACCTCCAGGGATCAAGATATCTAACACTGTGCACTGACAGCTTGCCAGCATTTTTACTTCATTGCAATCTTTTATTATTTGTTCCTGATAAAATATGTTAAACAGCATCATTGTGTTCACGTGATGAAATCTATCAGGTGTAAGGCAACATTATGTAAAAATAAGATAATAATAATAATAGTCATTAAATTAATTCATAAGTTACCTTTCATAGAAGGTTTTGGCTTGCACAAGTAACGTGTGGTATTCAACCCTCTCCCATGCCAGGCCCTTCAGGAGTTCTGTCGATGAGTTTGGCTGGCGGAACTTTTCAGTGTACTTCTTCTGTGCGACTTCTAGCCCATCCTCAAGGAAAACAATGTCTTCCTCAACATCCTTCAGGAGTTTGAGGACATCGGCCTCCAGCTGACTTCGGGTGGGAACCTTCCCGGCTTCCTTAACACAGGCCACTCGCCTGTCACTATCTTCCCGTAGCTTTTGCAGGCTCCCATCACCGAGATCAACGTCACCCGCCCATTTCCC